AAAGAGAGGACATTGTGACAGCCCTTTTTCTGACATCATCTATGACCCTTAGAAACAAACATTTATTTGTAGTTGGATCATGGATTCTATTTTACTCCACAAAGGTTCTTCACAAACACTTTTCACACAATAGGCACAGAAAACACAGGAAATGCTCAGCAAATACTTGTCAGCGTCCACTGGGAATTAGCAAAAATCAACAACCATTCCAAGTTCCTTGACACCAACAAAAAGAACTCAAAACAGTATATTAAAAAAATCTTACTGTAAAATAAAGATGGTCCCAGTCTCACATAAAATATCCAAAATGGCCAGGCATAGTGGTGCACACCAATAATCTCAGCACTTGGGAAGCTAAGGTAGAAGGATCACCATGAGTTTGAGGCCAGCCTGGACTACATAGCAAGACCTTGTCTCAAGAAAACAAACAAAAAAATCTAAAATGGTGCTTCCAAATATAAAACAATTTACACTAGCGTGAAAAAATGCCAGCAATTATGCTAGGGAGATAGCTCAGCGGTATGTGCACCTGCCTGGCAAGCAAAACAGGATTCAGGAAGGACAAGGCATGACCCTTGAGGCTTTCTCCCTTCCCCATAGACTATTACAGATAGTGTGCACGCAGTCAAAAACTGTAAAACATTTGCAGAGTCACAGGCTGAAGAAGAACCTCTCTGGTGTAGAGCAAACAGGTTTATTCCCAGAACTGGATAGAGAACCTGAAGATTCCCATCAGAACTACACACATGGATTTCACTTGGGAATAAAAGCCCTAATGAAAATGGCACTCTTCCTAGATAACGTGAGGACATGGGAGGGGGTGGGGAAATGGCTGTTCCTTAGTTGCTCCTAGACTGGGATTTCAAAGTGACTTTGGGAAGAATAACATAAAAGGGTTAACATTCCTTTTGTTTCCCCCAGTACTGAGGATTGGACTCAGCTAGATGTGGCCTTTGCGCTGAGCTACAACCCCAGCCTTTTGTTTTGTTTTGTTTTGTTTTGTTTTGCTTTGCTTTGCTTTGTTTTGAGACAAGTTTTGCTAAATTGCTAAAATGCCCAGATTGACTTCAAAATTTTGCCCCTCGTGCCTTAGCCTTCCAGAGTGGTGGGATGACAGGCATGTGTCACTATGCCCAGTACAATGGCCAATGTCCTACTTTTCCAGAAAAGATCTTTTTTTTAAATCCCCCAAATAAGAAAGAAAATAAAAAACCTCAGAATGCTTTTTAAATTTGTTCAGTGTGGTCTTACAAAAATTCATGATCATTTCCTCTTTTTCTTTTGGTTTTGGATCAGCGAACACCTTGCAGGTCACAAGGGTCACAATTTGGGTGTCACCGGTCCACTCCATGCTGGCAGGGCCCGCACAAGCCAGAGCTGTGACCATGCCACACCTTTGGTTCAGCACTGTGGGCAACGCTTTGTGGACAACTGACTGCAAAGATGGAGGTCTACAGTTCCTCCCCTCCGCCCTTTTTTGCACACTATTTCTCAAGACAGGAACATGGTTTGACCCTTAGCATTAAAAAGAAACAAAAAAGTAGTGGGATCTGTCCCCCTTCCTCTGTCTGCTCCCCTTAGGCTGTTCTTGAGACCTGCTTTGGCCAACAGAACACAGCAGAAGTAAGGCCCATGTGCCCTGGGCTAAAGGGAAGTGAAAGGTCCAGGGTACTGTGCTTGGGAAAGAGGTCACTCAGAAGGACCCCAAAGATGAGATACCATGTGCAGAGAGAGACCATATGGATGAGCACAAAAGTACCGTGGGCTCTAGTTAGCATTAAGGCACAAGACATGGGTGGGAGCCTTCCTTCCCCCTGAGGGCCCTGCCACCAGTCAAGTGTGTCCACACAAGTGACCCTATCCAAGCAAATGAACACAGCTGCCCAGCCAGCCCAGCCATGGGATGGTAAGAAGCAATCAATCTCACTGTATTTGGGGGAGATAAGTAGAGAGATATGCATCATTGAATAATCCAAGGCACCAATGACATATCTTCGAAGAGATGCACAAGTCTAAATATGCGAGATTAAGAGGCCAACACATTTAAAAAAGCAAAAACAATGAAATGAGCCCGGTGGGGTGACACATCTCTAATTCCAGCACTCAGGAGGCTGAGGCAGAAGGCTCACCATAAATTGAAGGCTATCCTGAACTACACAGTGAGACCCATCTAAAAAAACAAACAAAATGAAATCTTGAAAATTATAAACAAAATATTAATGCCCAAAATAATTTAATAGAGGCACTGAATAATAGGTTGGTAACTGTTGAAAAACAAACTGGCAAATCCCAACTTGAGGAATTCCCCAAAATTTAAAAATGATGGGAGGTAGAAATAATGCTATAAAAACAAAATGTTATGAAGATGAATTCAAAATATTTGGTCAATTGAAGAGGAATTGCAGAAGAGAAAGGAATGCATGTACAAAACTTAATCTCAAAGCAGGGGAAAACACTCCTCAGTTCATAAATTCAAATGCAAACATCTTTAGGCTGCAGGCATGAACACTGAAACACAACTGTTCTCCTGAGGATAATGCAGGGTCCTGGCTGCACAACGAAGCTCCAGCTTGCCCAGCAGGACTTCAGAAGAGCACAGACCTCCTCCCTGCTGCCTCTCTCTCTGGAGCTCTTTCAGCTACCACCAGGTGCCAGGGTCCCTTACACCCACCCCTAATTTTTCCCGTCCCAAGTATAGGCTTCCTGCCTCCAACCCCAAGTAGACCAAGCAGGGATGTGGTTGCTAGGAAGTCTTTGACAGAAATGTCTGAGCCGCTTATAGACCTCAGTCTAGCTTCAGTCTAACCCAAAGGCACATTATGGCACGATCCCATTTAGAAGAAGTCTCCAGAACAGGCAAATCTACAGGGACAGAAGGTGGGTTCAAAGCCGCCTGAGCTAACAGGAGGTGGGGAGTGGGGAAAAGTGATGGGTACATGATTTCTTTGGGGGAGAGACAATTTTGTAAGTTCAGTGGTGATATTTATGGAATTCTGTGAATACATGAACCACCAATGAATTGTGTACTTTAAATGGGTACCTTTTAAGGCTATGTGAATTATGTCTCAGTGAAGCTGTTATTTTTAAAAACCAGGCGATAGAAAGGCTGGGAATGTAGCTCAAGTAGCAGAGTGCTTGCCTGACATGTGCAAGGCTGTGAGTTCCAGACTCAGCACCACAAAAACAATCAAACACATACAAATTTTATGAAGAAAAACAAGAGCCACTCTCAATTCCACAGAATAGGAGAAAAAGAAATGGTAACCTAGGGGGGTGGCACCCAATCTGACCCAGGACTTCCTGTTTGAGACACTAAATGCTACACAGCAATGGAGTAACATTTATAGAGTTCTAAGCCAAAGGGGAGGAAAAAAACACTGTGCTCTATTTAAGCTAAGAAATGACATTTTAGAATATGAATGAGCTCAGCAATTACCCCCCTGACATTTCTTTTCTGGAAAAAAAAACATTTTTTTTTTTTTTTTGAGAAAATACCTCAGTCAGTGAAATAAATGAGAATAAATGTTAAGAAAGAAGAGGAACCAGGCATGG